AAACAAGAGGCCGAGGTGGCCACGCGAAGAACGGTTGTGCTGGAGGACCTTGCAAAGGCTGAACCCGCCGTTGAAGAGGCCAAGGCCAGTGTTAGCAACATCAAGCGTCAACATCTCACCGAAGTCCGATCCATGGGTAACCCACCTCAGGGTGTCAGATTGGCTCTCGAATCTGTCTGTGCTCTGCTCGGCCATAAGGTCAACGACTGGAGAACGATTCAAGGTATTATCCGTCGCGACGACTTCATTGCCAGCATTGTCAACTTTGACAACGAACGCCAAATGACTAAGGCTCTGCGTACCAAGATGCGCAATGACTTCTTGTCGATCCCCGAATTCACCTTCGACAAGGTCAACCGCGCCAGTAAGGCCTGTGGTCCTTTGGTACAGTGGGTTGAGGCACAGGTCTTGTACTCTGAGATTCTCGACCGTGTCGGCCCTCTGAGGGACGAAGTCGACGCTCTCGAGGAGACCGCTCTGCAAACCAAGGCGGAGGCCAAGGCTGTTGAGAACACCATCAACACCCTCGAGTCTAGTATCGCACAGTACAAGACGGAGTACGCTGCACTTATCAGCGAGACGCAAGCCATCAAGTCTGAGATGTCCAAGGTCCAATTCAAGGTCGACAGGAGTGTCAAGTTGCTCGATAGTCTGTCGTCTGAGAGAGTGCGTTGGGAGGAGGGCAGCAAGTCCTTCGAGACCCAGATCAGCACGCTCGTTGGCGATGTCCTCGTCGCGGCTGCCTTCCTCGCTTACAGTGGTCTGTACGATCAAACTTTCCGAAAGTCCATGATGGATGACTGGTTGCACCAGCTGCAGCTGTCTGGTGTACTATACAAGCAACACAACCCAGTCACCGAGTACCTGTCGACTGCTGATGAGCGTCTCAGCTGGCAGGAGAACAGCCTGCCGGTTGACGATCTGTGCACGGAGAACGCCATTGTCCTCAAGCGATTCAACCGCTACCCTCTCATTATCGATCCTTCCGGCAGAGTCACTGAGTTCTTGCAGAAGGAGAGTAAGGACCGTCGCTTGACAGTCACTAGTTTCTTGGATGACTCGTTCACCAAGCAATTGGAGAGTTCCCTTCGATTCGGTAACCCCATTCTCATTCAGGATGCCGAGTACCTCGATCCCATCCTCAACCACGTTCTCAACAAGGAATACCAGAAGACCGGTGGTCGTGTTCTCATCCAGCTTGGAAAGCAGCAGATTGATTTCTCGCCGTCCTTCAAGATCTACCTGTCGACCCGTGACCCGTCGGCAACTTTTGCTCCCGACATTTGCTCTCGGACCACATTTGTCAATTTCACGGTCACCCAGAGCAGTCTGCAGACCCAGTCCCTTAATGACGTGCTGAAATCTGAGAGACCGGATGTCGACGAACGGCGGTCAAACCTCATCAAGCTCCAGGGAGAGTTCAAGATCCATCTGCGACAGTTGGAGAAGCGTCTTTTGCAAGCTCTCAACGAGTCTCGCGGAAACATTCTCGACGACGACAACGTCATTGAGACCCTGGAGACGTTGAAGACGGAGGCTGCGGAGATTTCAGACAAGATGAGCAACACTGAGGGCGTCATGGCAGAAGTCGAAGAGATTACCCAGCAGTACAGCATCATTGCCCGCTCTTGCAGTACTGTGTTTGCTGTGCTGGAGCAGCTCCATTACCTCAACCACTTCTACCAGTTCTCACTGCAGTACTTCCTCGACATTTTCCACTCTGTCCTGCACGGTAACAAGAACCTGGCCAATGAGACGAACCACAACATTCGGCGAGATATCATTGTCAAGGATCTGTTCATCACCGCCTTCAAGCGGACTGCGCTCGGCCTGCTCCAAAAAGACCGGATCACGCTGGCCATGCTGCTTGCGCAGGCTTCGCCTCACAAGATGGACAAGACGCTGATCGACATCGTCCTTGATGATCGCATGGAAGGCAAGGATCTTTCCACCGACAAGGACGCCAAGGAGGAGGCTTTCACCAGAGCTGGCCGCATGAGCGTGCTCAAGAACAAGCTTGACGCTGTTTCGTCTGCCGACTGGGACAAGTTCCTGGCCGAGGAGCTTGCCGAAAACTTTGTTCCCCAGATCTGGGACGACAGCACGGAGGCCTTTGACCAGGCTCTACAATCATTGCTTCTCGTCAAGCTTTTCCGTCTTGATCGCTTCGTTCCCGCTGCCGAACGATTCGTCACCTTGGTCTTTGGCTCAGACACGTTTGACGTCGTCGAGGATCTCAAGGAGACGGTTAGCGAGGTTCCCGCCACAAGACCGATTTCCCTGGTTTCCAGCCCTGGTTTCGATGCCAGTTACAAGGTGGACAACCTCGTTGAGAGGCTTCGCGTCAAGTGCACCAACATTGCCATGGGTTCCAACGAGGGTCTCGCGAGTGCCGACAAGGCCATCAACAACGCCGCGCAGTTGGGCAACTGGGTCTTGGTCAAGAACGTACATCTCGCACCTACTTGGCTGCAGAGTCTCGAGAAGCGCATGGAGTCACTCAACCCCCACTCGGAATTCCGCCTTTTCCTGTCGATGGAGTCGAGCCCCAAGATTCCCGTCAACTTACTGCGCGCTTCCAGAGTACTCATGTACGAGCAGCCCGCCGGCGTGCGCGCCAACATGAAGGACTCCATGTCCTCCTTGTCTACCAGAGGCGCCAAGGCACCTGTCGAGCGTACGAGATTGTATCTGCTGCTTGCCTTCTTGCACGCAGTCGTTCAAGAGCGTCTGCGCTATGCCCCGAGCTTGGGATGGAAGGGCTTCTGGGAGTTCAATGACAGTGACGTAAGTTTTTCTAATCAAGTGCACATTGAAGTAGGCTAAGCTAACATACTCAGTACGAATGCTCTGCATTCATCATTGACACCTGGATCGAGAACGCCGCTGGCACCCGCACGAACATTGCACCTCAAAGCATCCCTTGGGAGATGATCCGCTACCTCGTCACGGAAACCTACGGAGGCAAGATTGACAATGAGGGAGATTTCAAGCAGCTGAACCAGCTGGTGCACTCGTTCCTGACGCCGTCCGCCTACGACGTCGGACACAAGCTTGTCGAGGGCACGGAGAACCAGGAGGGCAGCCTTATCGTGCCATCGGGTACTTCACTGTCGGACTTTATGGCCTGGATCCACAAGCTACCGGAGCGCGAGCCGCCTACGTACCTCGGCCTACCCGCCAACGCAGAGAAGCTGCTTCTGGTCGGTCTCGGACGTAGCCTTATTGGTAACTTGAAGAAGGTGACGGAGTTGTTGGAGGAAGGGGAGCAGCTCATGGTTGAGGCCTAGTGAGCTTCCGCCTGGGGGAGTGAGGGTGTGTGGAAGGGAATGAATAGAGGACATTGACAGTTCCCGAGTTGAGGGATTTTATTTTGTGTCAAGAGAGAATGGGGCAGAGAGTGCCGTCTTGATTGCGAGTTACTAGAGTGTGTGGCATCATTGCCGATGTTTCTTGCGCCTCGAGAAGAAGAAGAATCCGGCGTAGTAATTGGTGTGGAAATCATGGAGAATGGTGGGAACGGGGTGGGTTGCGTTGTTGTTACAGACATCACTTATACACTGATACCCTAAATCTCAGATTGTTTTCTTTATTTGAGTTGTTATTTGATTCTTGGTGGTGACTGGATTGATAAATGTGCGAGACTTGGATTTTGTTTGGCATTGATGAGTTGCACCTTGAAGGCGCGTTCTATCCCACCTGTCAAAACACTCAGCAGCGATTCCACTCGAGCGACGGATGCATTGCTTAAAATACCCATTTGAAATACCCCTAAGAGGTGTGCAAAGTTTGAAGTCGAAGTCAATTTCAATTAAGATTGGGACTGGACTAAATTCGTATCGCGATGCATGCATTGCAGTCTCAAAATACGACGCGAGCAAAAAAGGGAGATGGAGTGAAAGAAATAAAAAGAAGAGACAAGCAATACCGTTGTAGATGGACAACAAAAGGCAAAAGAGAATCACTCGTAATCTGTGTTCAGATTACCGACGACCAACCTGGGACTCGAACCCAGAATCTTCGGATGAGTTTGTATTCCTCATAGGAATCCGACGCCTTAGCCATTAGGCCAGCCGGCCTGCCAGGATCTATTCTGTTGAAGCGAGGGGCGAAGGTTGGGGCCTATGTTTCGTTTGTAGCTTGGGGGTTCGAGTGGGGGGGGGGGGGGCCGCTGGTGTGTTGTACTGTTCTGTGCTGCGTGTGCCCCGTGTTCAGTGGAGTGTTCAGTGGAGCCTTTTGCTTGTGTTGGTGGGGGCGCTGTTGTGTCGCTGAGGTGCCTGTGCTGTACTTGTAGGTAAAGGTAGGGGTGGGGGTGGGGGTTCAGTGGAGCTGTTTTGGGTCCTTGAGTTCCATTGCTAAAGGTGTAGTAGGAAGCTGTCGTTGAGGCGAATTGCCCATTGCATAGGGTGGGAGAAAAAGAGGCAGAAAAAAGGAAACAAAAAAAGGAGGATATCTGAAAAGACAGAGGGAAAAGAAAACCAGGTGAAGTATAGCGCGCCGGGTCTAGTGAAGCCTGTTTGCACGGTGGGCGCAATGGGCACATGGACATGTTCACATTTCGTCTCTGAAATGACAAAACCACATCTTGAAAAGGTTTCTTAATCCCTTGATTGTATGTGTACTCTTATGAACGGCACTCCGTGTAGATAGAGAATCAACATTCAAAAGGGTAGGAAGAACCCGAAATTCTCGATTTAGAACAATTAGACAAAGTGGCGCCTGTCCCGAGTCTTCCCATCTACACCATCACGGGACGAGAGCCTAGGTTGTTAGTACATTCGTACTTGTAAAAGGTGATGGGATTAGAATGTCGGGTTAACATCCTGTATTGTTGGGTTCTTTGATATATTGATATGGTCTCGTGACACTTGGAATAAATAGAAGAACCAATAATACCAGGTATTTAAACGGAATTAAATCCCACCACCTTTTACAAATACACTCCTTTCCCTTTTTGCTGATATACACGATGTTTCCCTCCTGTCACTGACTCTCTCCCCTCAAACAGTGACGTCCTCAGTCTTCTCAGCAAGGCCATCCTTTCCTTCCTTCTCAGCAGCCTTCTCCTCAACCTTCTTCCCCTTAGCCTCCTTCCTCTCAGCCCTCGCCTTCCAGGCTTTAAACTCTTGAAACGCCTTAAACTCCTTATAACTCAGCTGATCCTCCTCCGTGTCCTCAATCCTGCGCACGCGACGCTCATGCTTCTTCCTGGGGCCCTTCTTCTTCTCGGGGCCCTGGCCATCGGCGTGAGCGTGGCCTTCGCCGCGGGGGAAGCCGATACACACGGCCGTGGCGTAGTCTCCGTCGTGGCTGATGGACACGAGCACCTCCTGGTCGGGCATGTCATCGTATCTGCTGCGCACGATGGCGACGGGCGGACCGCTTCCGTTGTCGGCGGATTCTTCGTCTGCGGGCGTTGTTGTGCTGCTGGTTTCCTCTGCCTTGCCCTCGACTTCTTTTGGTTCTTCTTCCTCCTCCACCTCCTTGTTTTCCTCCTCTTCCTGCGCCTTGACCTTCTTCAGCCCTTCAATATCCCTCAGCTGCTCGAATCGCTTTCGGACGATGGCGATGTCGTGCCATGTAAGGTTCCTCGTGGGGTGGGCTTTGAATGTCGCTTCCTTGGCTGCGAATCTGTAGCAGAGGGTTAAAGATGTGAGCTTCCGCATCCTCTTCAATTGACCAAGAAGAAAGATTAAGTCGGGGTAACAAAACGTACCTCCCAGCTAAGAAGCTAGCCTTCTTCCATAATAGCGGGTTGCGCTCCTTCAACGCCTGGAAGTCGTCGTCTTTGGAGACTTCGGACGCCGTCCCTGATGCATCAGCCGACATCAAGGAGGCGGAGATTGCGAGGCGCTCATTCTTAGTCAGGATGCGACGAAGAAAGCTCGCCTCCTTGTCTTTGGCCAGAATCCGGTAGATGCGGGAAATTTGACATATGTCAGTCCCTAGTTTGAAGGGAAATGGAAACCTCTTGGGTGGCAGCATGATGAACAGCTTGGGGTAGCAGAAACGGATGAAGATCAATTGGTATCCGTAAAGTCAAGCTTGTAATGTAATTGATAGATCCACTGCCAGGGGTTCGGGGAAAGTACCTAACCCATTCCACCTTCAGCTAAGTGCTACCTTGATTCGAACCGATAAGCAAAGCTCGGGAGCGATAACGATAGCGATAAGACCATCGCTACGTCACTCCTCCCTGTCCTCTACTTCCTAAGCCGAATAACAACATGGGGAATTATCGTGCTGTGCTACGCATGCATGGCCATGAAAAATGCCATGTACATTCCATACCAAAAACCAAATCAGTTGTCGCAGCAATCTCGGAACGAAAACAACTTTTTGACGCCCATGACAGAGTCATTGGCGGCTTCCAGTCGCACTCCAGCTCGGCCTTCTCTTCCTTTCTTGCAGTGAAGAGAGCTTCTGTCGCGAGTATACGCCAATGCGCAGACTTTGGTCTCGAGCTTCCAATGCGAACACAATGGCATTTACTGGTCATCGGCAAGAAGGGGAGCGCGCTCCGAGTCGGCAGTGCGGCTTCTCCAGGGGTAGTCTTTGCCAGTCGCAGCCGGGTAGGCAATCACAAGAGTTGAGACGAACAGCACAGCCATGATGGTGAAGGCAAAAATCCACTGGAAGGCAACGATTTGGCGACCGAACTGCGCAACGCCAAGGGCGGCGGACAGAACGCTCAGGGAGAAGCCCATGGTGTAATCCTGCAACAGTATCAGTCAGTGGATTCTATAGCACAATAGGCAGCGATTCGCTCTTACCTTGTAGGTGGTGATGAAGAAACCTCCGTAAACCAGAATGGACCAGACGAAGATGTTGCCAAAGATGCGGGCAACGAGGTTGTGGGGGTGAGGGACCATGATGGCGCCGTTCCAGTAGATGGCCACAAACGTCCAGGCCAGAGGAGCGGAAACAACGGGCCAGTGGATGAAGCGAGGGTACGTGTTGTGGCGGAAGTAGAGCGACGACAGGTTGGCGAAGTTGATGATGAGAATGAACTCAGCCCAGCCGAAGTGGGAGCGCACGAACAACATGACAAAGGCGAAGTGCAACAAATTGTTGAAGATGAAGTGCGATCCGACGCTGGCAGCGGCGTTGACATAGTCGCTGTTGCTCGAGAAGAGGTGCCCGACATAGACAATTTGGAGGATGAAGAGAACGAGCCTGGACGATGTTAGAAGTGGAATGGTCTCGAGGGACAAGTCTGAACCTACCAGTAGATGTCGATGATTGTGGAGTTCAAAGTGAAGGCAGTGGGGTAGAGGTAGTTCTGGTCCCAAATTCTTCTCCGAATTGTGAAGCCATCGGTGGGTTCATTGAAGGTGTAGTAGAGAGTGACGACGAAAGCCAAGAGCCAACTCAGAATAGTCAAGACCTTGTAGGTGGTGATCGAGGCGGCCGTATGAGACTCCTTCTTGGAGAAGGGGTTCACTGGAGGGAAAGTCAGTCACAAACGAATGGCTGCACACGTCCAAGGCGAATGGTAACTTACAGGCGTGAATGCGCTCTGTTGCGGTAGGCATCTTGAACGATGATGAATGCCTGGTCTTGATTCCTCGATTCCCACACAATCTGCGGTATTTGCAAGTTTTCTGGTGTTGCACAGAAAATTGTTGGTGGGAGCAGAAGCTTGGAAGTAGCAGAAAGGTATGAGCTGAGGAGGGCGGCGGTGGCTTATAAACGACGGGAAGCAAGAAGCATGGGGTTGGTAGATGGGACGTTAAATCTGCGGGGAAAGCAGCTCGCCACAAGGACATTAGCGTGTAACGACTAAGGCGAATGCAGAGAGAGGTTCCTTCCTTGCTGCAGCGGTCCTCGTCCTCCAGCGCTGGTGTGGCTGGATACAGAGGCAAGAGGACGGGGAGGAGGTATCGTTCCGGTCCGGGCTGCGGACCTCACCTCAGTAGGTACCCACGGATTCCAGGCTGGGGTGAGGCGGCGCCCCTTCCACACTGCCACACCTCCTTCCTCGTCTCTTCTCTTGCTCACATTGCTCACGGCATGTCACCCACCTCACGGACAGCAACAAGCTCACTCAGTAGCCCCCGACGTGCATCAACACTACGTCAGGTAGCCTTGTAGCTCAATACCTAACTCAAGGCAATATGTGAGGTAGCTTGGAAAAGGATGGCCATGTCCTGTGCTAGAGCATGATCCCATCCTTGTGTACGTGCACATAAAAAGCTCGGAAAGGGCGGGATACATGGACAATTGGACAAATGAGATGGGATGGCTTGGGCGTGCTTGTTTGGACTTGTTTGGACGCCTCGCTTGATCAGGTAGGCTACGGGCTGGCGCCTAGAGGATGCTACTACCGATTGGCTGTCTCGTGCAGCACGCAAGTCAATGGGTGACCTCTTCGGTCAATGATCGTTTTTGGAGAGACATAAGGAAGATGTACCAGGTAGCCGTGCTGTCCCACTACCTTGAGGTATCCCGTAGATGAACTCAAGAAGCAATTGGTAGGAGCAACGAATGGCCTCAGGCGTGAAGCGCTTTGGATCGGGATCGCCCCTGCGGTTTTGCGGTTCAACGACATGACACAGGGAGTCTGCGAGCAGCAGCCATGCCAGCCAATGCATGGATAGTCAGACGGGCTGATCTGGACCTGTCAACCCTGTCTGGCCGATGCTCTTCCCTGCTGTATCCGGACCGCATCAGCCACACCTTGGGTCTGGGGTTGGAGAACGACGTTTGTAGCGACGCTGTCGTCAGAGCTGACGATGCCGCCCTGAGCGAGCATGACCAAAGTCGAGAGTAGGCTTATTTGGCTAGTACTCTGAATTTCCTACAAGTTTGAGACCATCCATCCTCTTCTGCTCTTGTACCTACCTTGATGGGGTGGTACAGCAGCATGAGGCTAGCGGAAAAGGTCGGTCGATGCAAAAGATGGCGAACACTACAAGCCACAACAGTGTGCCAGGAAAGTCCAGAGGCCGGTCTTGGAAACCCCGCCTACGCTTCCTTCCTGGCACCGGCTTGAAACTAGAGGGATTCCTCGGTTGTCTTGGACAACGGTCTATGGGATGGAACAACAGGCAAAAAAGGAGTCGTTTGGAGCAAAGAGATGAGGTGAAGCTGGAGCACACACGCATACGGCAGGCATTGCGCAGTGTGGAGGCACCTTGGCACCTTGCAGCTCCGATCCAATGGCTGGCAGGGGTGGGCGGAGTGGGGCGATCCGTGATTGGATCATCCCTGCACAGGTATGACGACTTGCCGCGACTTCTCGCTGAAGTTCGTCGACTTCAATTCTCAGAGGCAAGAGCACCCTGCCCCACACCAATCCTGAATGCCAAGGGGCCACTCTTTCCCGCTTGTAAACTTCTCCACGAGGTCCTTTTTTATTGTTCTCTTCGCGGCTCGCCTGTGTGCTGCGTGCATGTCTCGCACTGACATATCCTCCCGCATTTGCCTCCTTGCAACCCGTTGCGCAACTCATCTCCAAACACTTGCACGACTGAGTTACAGGAGTTGGAGCTGAGGTTGGAGCTGGAGCCGCCGATGCCCATCGACCGTCGCCGAGGTAGAGGGACACAATTTCACTTGGCTACCCAGGCCCGATGATAGCTCACAACCAGACCGCACTGAGGCTTACTCGCAGCCTCCCATTTCGGCTCGACCACAGACCAACACCACATTTCTTAGACAAGTTGGCATATTACAAGATACACCCGATTTGTCACCTCCCACAGACTTTGAGGGCCACAAGGTGTCCCATGCCGACTCTTTGTACGGACCCAAGTTGTTGGGGTCCATCGAGAAACGAACCCCCTGCTTTTCTATCCACGGCCCTCCATCATCATCACCTCATAGCTTCCCTTCCTGGGCTGATTTGCTGCTAACAAATGGAGCAGATGAAAGCATTGCCCTGCGCATGTACGGAGTAGAGCGCCGTTTCCTCCTTCTCCAAACAACTCCCAATTCGACCTCATACAGATGCAGCCTTCACGCATCCCTTCCATCGCATCTAGAAAGTTGCGACTGACTGCTGCACACCCACCCGCACAACATCCAATTCTCCAATGGAACGGTACGCCGTTCGAGGGGCGGAAGCTATGGTAGGCGGGTAGCTCAGCACACCACCTTGCAAACCACCAAACCCAACTAAACCCGCCGGCCACAGACCGCTCCCTGCTATGCCGGGACAGGCTTTATTATACGCAAAATGATCGGCAAAACCGCTTTCTCACCTGATTTCAACGTATAATTTCCTTGCTACTAACGATTCTACGAATATAGCTCGTGAGAGAAGAAACAGTCATCGGCCCACTGCACATCTCATGCCACTTGCTCTATTCTTGGCAATGGCTTCAATGCAAAGCTACTTGTCCCACAGTTCCGGAATTATACGCGGCAGGCGTTGAGCTCCAGTCTCCAGAGCCCCACCCCCCGTCCGACATCTGCACCGACGCGAGCAGGGACGAGGTACCTCTACCCGGCCGATACATCTCCACGTCACCGCACCTTTCCCTCCGGACTGTGGGCTAAATTGCGGGGCACACTCCAACCTGCATCACCTGGCCTTCCTCGTGTACTGCCCCTCACGCCCGATGACAGCATCCGCGAATCAATCCGTCTGAGAGTTGCGGCACGGCCACTACCGACTGGCTGCCACGAAGCAAGGCACCATGTTCAGTCCGGCCAAGCGAACACTGGTAAATCCACCTCGATGGTTCAGAAATTTTGAAGATTTCCTGAGGCGTGGCGGCAAGCAAACAGCTTCATTGGAATAGCGTGCTACCCAGGTATCTATCTACACGGCATCCTACAACTGCTATAACACCAATTCGCTTCTTCGCACCAGTCGTATTGTACATTTCCCTTAATGACCCTGAGGCCTCTCTCCAATTGGCTGTTATTGCACAAGGCCGCAAAGCCGCTCACCACGTATCGGATTCAGCTCTCTATTTTTGATTCTGAAATATTTGTCTCCAGCATCGTTCAATTTACGCAGACTCATCGCTGCCCTTCGGCCTGGCATGGTGTCACTGCTACATTCTTCCTTTTTTGTCTTGTGTGTGCAGCAAGTCGGCTTCTCTTTGGGGCTGTCGGATGCCCTTTGCCGCTGCGTTGGCTGTGATGGGGGATGCATTGATTCCGCATGACATGAAGTTGCCTCCGAGTGTTGGCTTCGATATTCTCGGAGTGGGGTCGGTCTCCAACGCCCGTGTGCCGATGCTCGTCCCAGGGTGTTCGGGGCTGTGGGCGCCGAGGGCTCGGAGTAAGGCATCCTGGACCTGGTGGCGGGGATATTGTATAGCGTACGGCAAGTGCTGTTATGCCGTGGCTGAGTGGTAACACAGAGAGGGCGCAAGCAAAGAGTTCAAGTTGTAAAGGCTCGTTGTGTCTGATTTGGCTCTGAGGCGAGGACTCGCTCTGAGGTTCCGAGCCTGACGGCCTTTTATACGAAATGGTTATAAGTCCAACGTTGGCTGAGTAGCCGGTCCAAGATGCCTAGATGGCCAAAATTGACAAAAGAATTGCACTTTCTTGGGATGTGGCGCATGCATGACCCCCAGGTTTGGATTTTGAGGTGCTGGTTCCTTAAAGCAAGTGGAATTCCAAGTCGAAAATGACAATGTCAGCTCAGTTACTGGACCAATGGCGATGCAGTGCTGGGAAACTTGTAATTCCACAATGCCATGTATGCAAAGTACTTGATCATCCAATCACAGCTTGACCAAGGTCAAAAGTGCATTTCAGTTACAAGACGTACTTGGTCCGCGGATTGCTGAGAGCCTTATATGAAGTCAGCCTCAAGAAGGCGAAGCCGTTGGGCTTTTTCGAGTATGTGTAGGGAGGGCTCCGAGGCTGTTCCATGTCGTTTCTCGCGAGCATTGTTGAACTGTTGAAGAACTACAAAAATCGTACATCATGGCGCTGTATTACTCTCTCACGGCGGATGATCTAGAGAACACCTTTGGGGAGTCGCCAAACCCACGTACCCATACAATCGGCGAGCTTGATATGGCGAAAGAGGCGAAAACACGCGCGTCCCGGATACCCGCACAACGATGGGAGGAATTGAAGGCGATCATCTGCACAGAATATAAAAGGAAGACTCTGGAGGCGCTGATGATGTTCCTCAAAGAGGAGCATGACCTCGACGTCACGTATTGTTCTTCTGGGGGTTTGAAGATTTCTAATTTAGTGCTAACTTTGGGTAGGAAACGTCAACTTGTCTATAGACTGGGCATCTGGGATTGCGGGAAGTATAACCTCAAAGGTTGTGATGGGTTGCCCGATAACGATGGGGATGCTAACGATGTTTCCGAAGACGATCAAAGCGACGAGGACTCCGACCTGGACGATGAAGATTTCGTCCCAAATGGCGGTCATGTCTACGAGGTTCCTGACGCATTGGGGCTCACATCCTGTTTCGAAGCGGGCTCATATACGTACGACCTCATAACTCACCACATCCAAGCAGCGAATGCAATCTTCGCAGTCGCCGGCGGTGGTTACGCCTGGGCAACATATAACAACGACTTCCACGACGACGTGAAAGATTCAAAGAGGCTTGTAGCCCTTTGCCGATCAGCCGAGACCGTCGAACAATGCCGGAAGGCTCTGGACATCCTAGAATCGCAGATCTCGCAGTCCAGCAGCCACGTGGGATTCTGGTCCTTATTATACGTACATGTTGTAGAGAGCATGAACCACGAGATTAGAGACGGCGATCTCGTTACATTGAAGGACCCCATCAAAGAGATGCTTACGGCCGCTGTTTCGTCAATTCTTCTCGGATCCTGGGATGGCTTCTTGCTCAAGGAAGGCGGTTCTGTCGATCTATTCGCCTTTCATCTTCTGGACACCGTCTACGAGCAACACCATACGCTGTCTTTGCAGTTGGAAGAGAAGAAGCTCGGCAGCCTACTCTACAGCATGGATGACTGGGTCCTCTCGGAGTATGATGACCAAGAGGCATCTAGTGTTCTGGTCAGACTGAAGCAGTGCGCGCAGTGGTGCTTATTGTCGCTCGAAGAAGTCTCAAAAGACCTCTCCCAAACGCGTCTTCATATCTGCTCTGCTCACAACGAGGCTCAGAAATACTGGAAAGAGCACCTCGAGATCTACGGAACGCTATGGCACAGATTATTTATGCAGCAGCTAAACGCACAAGGACAGAGCTTTGGCGTCGGCTTCGGCGCCGGCGCGGAGGGCCTTGAGTGGGCAGAGAATGCCCGGAGGGACCTGGGCATTTCCCATGCGGAGGTGCTTTCGTGCATGTGTTGGGTCATTGTGAAGCATGGCGGTCCAAGAAACGACAACGACGGGACTCTGGAGGGCCTGTTTGGACGAGCAAAAGCCGCGGCACAAGGGGTGTTGAACACCGAGCCGAGGGAGTTGTGGCTTGAATTCTTGGGAACTTTCAAGAGGCTCAATGATCTTACGGTGACAAAAGGGGCGAACGCTGCAAAGTATGCACGCTACAGGGATGATTTCATGAAGGACTTTGTGGCGTTCGTGGAGGACACTCTAAAGGTGTTTGCGACGTTTGGTGGGCCTAAGACGGGAGAGAGGATTGGGGATGAGTTCTATCCCGGGGTTGCGTTTTGAGGCTGGCTGGTTGACATGCTGCCCAGGAGTCTTGATGATTTGGGTGGAAGAGTTAGTCTCGGGGCATCTTGAGGTTTGGTTAGGGTATTTGATGTAGGTTCTTCTGTGTTCCTAGGAGCTAGTCTATACTTTTATATGTATCTAAGGTAGGCAAGTCAATATATTCTCCGTATTACCTAAGTACCTTTGAGGAGATGATGCCGTTCTCAGAGTGAGGTGTTACATCTTAGTCTTCCAGGCAGTATTATCTGTGTGAGAGAGCCCTGATCTCCTCACACAAGTACATGCAGTCGAGCCAACTGACAGGTAGAATACCACGGCGTTCAAGAGTCGAGGCCGTTCTAGTAGAGGCACACTGGCTTGCCTGCTTGTGCTTGTATACGGTCTCAGCCATGTGCCGCGGAGGAGAAGGAAGGTCGAATGATTATTGTTCCGACTGTCGTCAAGTCCATCGCTTCAATCTGATATCTAGATGCATAAGATTGTGTGGTTTCTCGAGTTCATGATTGCAGTCAGAGAGGAGGCGAACAAGTCGCTATAAATGAACACTGATGTTCTGAGAAGTAGATAACGTCAAGCTAATCATCATGTCACTCGTTCTTGGTGGCAACAAGCTTTCGCATCTTGCATTGCTGACAAAATCCATCTTCTTGATCTTCCGCGCTGGTGTGGAAGATGGCGAAGGTAGAGGTTTCCCTCGGGGACAGGGCACCAACAGACGAGATGTTAGCTCTGTCCTTGCTCTCTTCTCCATGCTTCTCGAGTATAAAGGTCTGAATACACAGGGAGCATGGATAACTACTAGCAACCACTACCAATGACTGTCTTCGTAAGCTAGAAGTTGGCAAACATTGCTCAATCAGCAACCATAGTCTTTCTCACAAGGCAGGCAAGCGGGGATGGTTACGCACGATCCTTGACTGATACCGAAGACGACTTCGATCTCGTGTTTGAGGCACCCCAGATTAGTGTGCCCGCAAGCTAGGTTATTGACGCGGGCCTCATCCTTTTATGTTCAGCAACCGTGTACTGTATGCACTATCTTAGAGATAGGTAGCAGTGCATAAGGCAGTCCATCAGGCAGTAAACGCGCTGCATCAAGGTTCTCTTACTCTGTCCATCGATGGTCCTCAACATGGCAAGATGGGCTACAAATCGCAGATAGATCCTCGAACAATCCGTCTCAAAACCCATTAACATGGAGCAAGAGACATTCTGGGTATTCAGCTGACGGCGAGTTTTTATTTCCATCTTTCTATTTGTCCAGGATCCAAGACGTGCGTCTAATGGAAGCTGTTGATTGTAGATCACCTCAATATATCTGGGTACCGCACTCCGAAGGGATAGAGTCACCTCGTCTTGGCACAAGGTATGTGAACCAGGAAGTGTGGAGGACGAAAAGTCTGAATATCAGGGAGTAAAGCGCAATACTTCTACTGAAGTGCAGGGGAGGTTAGATAGTCAGACTGTCGAGGAGAACTTCCCCGGATAATGTGTACGGCATCAAAGTCTTTTTCCACGGCCATCGATGAGCCATCAAGCAAGAATCCCATCATTCGTCACCTCGGCCCATATTCTAGACTCTCGGTACTCCGTAGAGACAAGTGGTTGAACGAAAAGGTTCTGGAAACACCACAGTCTCGGGATTATACACCGATGACTAGCTTTCCGGCCGTAAGGCCGCCGGTGGTTGGTGAGAATCCCCCCTGTACTGTTGGGAACCTTGAGAACCTTGGGAAGTGTTCTTCTGAAAGGCTTGGTATGTCTGGCATATCTTGTCTGAGCAGATAATTCATGTTGTCCAGGAATCCAGCTCGAGCTCGGAGTCTATGGGGTAGGGCAGCAGGTGCCGCGAATCGGGATGGCTTCTACCCGAGGAAAGCTCTACCGCCCCAGATTCCAAGCCACCAGAAAAAACTTTAGAACCCGAGGTGATTCCTGGAAAGAACCCGAATAACACGGGCAGTCACCAGAAACATGGCTGTCAAGGCTGGGCTGTCAACAATAGCAGAGCCGCGAACGGGGTAGTGGCATCATGGTCATCACCTAGTATGGAAAAGAAGCTAGTCCCGAGCAAAAGCAAAGCATTTCCAAAGCACGATAGTAGCTAGACTGGAAGTAGAAGCTTTATCCCAGGCTCCATATTATCTACGATAGGCTAAGGTAAGTAGCCCTTGGCCCTTTGGAATAGTTGGGGAGGCGGCCGGAACGCCGACGGCCTTTTCACTGGTCAGCTCGGGTCCGACAGATTTCTGGTTGCGAAGAGGGTCGTTTCTTATTCCGCAACATTGCAATGTAATGCAGGCTTGGGGTTGATCCTTCCGCCAATCAGCGTCAACTCTCGCTTGTGAAGCGTTGGAGCATCCATCACCCAGCCTTTTTGAATTCCTTGGCCGTCATTGGGCGTGAACTAAATAATGTCAATTAATAAATCTACTAGTTACCCCTTATAAAAATTATTAAATTAAGTTAACTGGCATTATCAACCCTTATAATAATTGAGACAGCATGTGAATAACGGTTACGACATGTGTTACATGAAATGAATGAGTCTCTGAACGAAGTAAGTGGCGGGCGATACGCCGAAAGCCTCAGTATCTTGTGAGTTCAGTTGTGTTTTGCGGAGGGCATGAGGGAAAACGGGCAGAGGCTCACTTGCTTGTCTTAACTTTAATGGCGCCTTTTCCCACCACTTCGGTAAACTTGGCAACGATCGGTCCGGAAGGCCTCTCGTATTACGCGAGAGAAGCCAATCCGTTCCCTCGCTTGCCCAGTTGGAGCTATGCGGTCGCTCGCTGGAGGGCTGAAAATGCCTGGGAATGACGTCTGGTAATTTGTGAGACATTAGGGATGCAGGGATGTAAGTCATCCGTGGCTGGGCTAGACAGCTGCCGTCTTGAGGGTCCTTTTGATACTTTTTTGGTCTTGAGAGACTTGCATGAAAATTAATGCTTGAAAGAGTAGCTTCTTGAGTGGTTTGGAATCCTGGCTGCCCGATGCAATCGAAATAGCGGCCGCTGAGATTCGGGGAGAATCTAGGAGGATTGCCGACGAGAAGAGTAAATGGCAACGTGCTTGCGGGTGATTCTTTCGACTACCTCGAGCCATGTGAAAAAGGTTTGAAAGAAATCAAGCTCCACGGTGAGTAGGATGTAGAAAAAAGTGATTGCATTTGCATTGAGGACACTTGTCGGGCGTTTCTGAGGCTCGGGGAAGGAGTATGGTGAAGTTGACGAGACGAGACTGCCCGAGAGGCGTTGGCGGCAGGTAGAGATATCTCACAAAAGAATGTTAGGGAAGGCTTCGGCGAAGATTTACTGGGCAGGACAGGTCTATGATAGGATCGAATCATCGATCGACGGCAGGAAGAAATGAGTTCACCCGTGGCGGGAACTGGTTGGCTCTTTCCCTGCAAGTCGGTATCTTTCTCTCCCTTACCTCACTTGTGTCGGGGAGACGGAGCGCAACCACGTTGCTGGGCCCTTGCCAAGGCGACCTGAATGACAAGATCGACCTACTCTGCCATGGCTATATTGTACATACTCAAGGTTGATAGGGCGAATGCTTAGGTACCAGGATGCGGACAGAGTGAGACATACGAAAACATATCTGAAGGAAGCGCGTACCCATCCGTACCTAATGTAGGCCAGAACGCAGTCCTGCCGCCTTTAACCCAGCGGTTTCCCCTCACCGGACATCAGTGGTATCCGATATATGGCGTGCAGATACGCTCTTCAGCCCTCGTTGGATTGCGGCGCAAGGCGGCCCGACCATGGCAGGCAATGGTTGTCTTCTCGGTCCCGGGTTCTCTGGCATGTCTACGGAGCTAAGGATGTTTTCATACCGTGCTGGTACGTCTAGGAAGGACATGGGGAGGAGCCTAGGAGGAACCTGGGGACAATGACCTGCATGCCTGTTCATGAGTAGTGACCGTGGGATGCCGACCCTAGACACCATTGAAAGCTGTCTTTCACTGAGGGCATCGGGATGAAGGGGCGATCAGACATTACTTTACTATGACGGACGATCTCCGATGAGGGCGGGCTGGCTTGCATAGGTACTGCTGCTGCTTAGAGGCACAATCAGCCCTCCAGCTGCCCCTTCGATGAGATGCTGGGAATGGTCAGGGGATGTCGAAAGTAAGAGCTGAAAGCACGCATTCATGGATGTTGCTTGGTACCCTAAGATGCTGACTTTTAGTGTAAGAGCTCGACTTTGATGAGGGGAGACTACAGAAGGTGTGAGGGGTGAGATGAGGTGAGGTGAGGAGAGCTCCGAGAGGTCCAGCTTGCCAGCTTAGAGTTGTCCCGCTTTTGTACCACGTGAGCAACGAGTGGTGTTCCCTGGGGTTACACGGAAACGGCCTTCAGCTGGCAGGGCCTGTCCCTCCGCATCGAACCTGCCTAATAATTAGCTTTCCACCTGTTGTCGGCTCCGACTGCCTTGCCTGGCGTGAGGTGCCTGCCCTGGCTGACTTACATGTTTCCTTAGTCAGACGGTACGTACACTAAGGTACTTCAACTACACGGGGTGACGGGACAAGGTATCCGCACATCGACAAGGCAGGTAAGAGGTACGTATCAGCCATCCAGCATTCACAACCACCTGCAAGTCGTGCGCTCTCAATGTTTTCTCCCTTCTCCCCCTACGGAGCACCTAGTCCTCTCCCTCTCTCTTTTTTCTCATTCGAACACCTCGATCCGCGACACCCGCCCATCATGGCGGCATGGCTTTCTAGTCCCCTTACTGCCAAAGAGCCGACTAATGCCTATTCGGGTGAGAGGCATGGCGCGTCACCTCCACTGGCATTCTCTGTCTCGTTTCTCGTGTAACAACCGAATCCCCCCCCGCGAGACATACCAAGCAGCATTGTCTCTGGCACAAACTCGTCCCGGAATCGTACATCCTTCACAATAATTGGGTCGCAGTCAGCTCCGAACCATTCCGCCCATTCACCAAGAGACTCTTCTTCTTGTCTCTACTTACGCCTAACCGTGAAGAGACACCACCACACCGCACCTTATGGGAGCAGAGACATTCAAACGCAGAACGCAGACGCTGCTTGGCCTTTCCATCACCTGTCTGCAAGTTGGGCCGAGTTGGGCCAAGCAAGTGGAGAACCTTCAAACGACCGGGGGTCCTTTCTGCGGGCTTATCCGCATCCCAAGGTGCCATCCCACGAACCTCGATATTTCGGACATGGCAGCTCGGCAAACCTTGTCTGGTTCCATCCATCCTTACATGCTTCGCGCCTACAGAGTATTGTTGCGTCGCTACCAATGTTCCCACACTCCCGACAAAAATAGCGTGTGCAAACTCTGAGAGTCCGAACAAGACACTAGAACCCATGCAACATTCGTCGCCTGCGTCTTCAGTAAAACGTCCAGAGTACGGCGCTAATTCGGATCATCGTCGTTGGAATCTGCTCGGCTGATTGCTGGTGGAGGCATACCAAATTTGGACTGCCGACTGCTTTCTTTTTGGTTTCACCTCATAGGGCCATGTTTACCCTCCTCTGACTTGTCAAATGCAATGTCCATGTCAACGATCGGAGCCCCGGGGAAGGGGTCTTGCTGGTCTGGCCGATATACGGATGCGCACGGCGGAGCGACACCCAGCCCGTTGCCGACCTTACCTCTCGCCTTCATCACTAATCGACCTGAGATCGGTCGATGTGCAACCCGGGACCAGGCATTCTGGGACACGGACCGAAATGCAAAAGCATAGCCAAGGCAGACGCCGCCATCCACCCCTGAACATGGACACTTTGTGTGGCCATTTAGGCTTTGAAGGGGGGTCAGCATCGGCACCACCACTGCCAGCGGTCCCCTACGCCTGGAACCCTGGGCTGTTCGGCTACGTTGCTCGCAGGGGGGGCCATATTGCGGCGCACGCTATGAATTCAGCAAGCTTTGCTCCATCTTATCTCATCCCCCGGTCTGCCACCTTGGAGTTGTAGCATTGTACGTTTTTTGACGTACAATACGGGCCACTCCCGCGCCTCCTTCGGAGCAAAGAGTCAATGCGCTAGATGTCCGCTGACCGATCCGCGGCCGTCTGCGTCCCCAGACGAAGAGAACCTGCCTCGGGCGGGATAATGCCTGCTCCAATACCTAGGTACTGAAGCAAGCAAGCAAGCAAGCCAGGTGATGTTGGCGCGGGGGCGTGGGCATGGCTAATTTTCCCTTGATACGCCAGACGAAAGCCGACATGCTCTGCAGAGAGGCGAAAGCTAAGCAGGAAAGCCACGCCGATCATCCATCCCTTGTCCCAGTCGCCTTGCTATTGAGGGTGTACTCCGTAGACTCTCTCAGTCAACCTGAAAGGCGGCCGTGGACCACGCGATGGGAATTCGGCCCAGAAGATGCAAATCACCCTTTGCACCTACGGCGGAAAACACGGCGATACTGGAACTATGGAAAGCAACTTTGGTGTAGTCACTTTCACGATGGTTCAACGTCGCACTCGAGCCGTCAATTGCCACCTGATGACGACACTTTTGACATATCCCGCCTTTCATCGCCGCCAAATGTTCCACGACAGCCATTCCCGCTGATTAGAACCGTTCGAATAAAGATCGATGTGCCAGGATTGGGCACAACAGCCCCCCCAGCCATCTTGCGGGGCCGCCCGGCCGAATACCAAATCTGGACCAGACGTATTACCGCTGATTCTGAACAAGGCACTGGACGGCAGACTATCAGAAAGGTACGAACATCCGTCCTATTCTCCCAAGCCAAGCGTTTGGCCCAACAAGAAGCTGTATCCCTCGGGCATATCACACAAATGATGTTCAGGCAAAGAACCCCTCGAAGTCTCAGACCCAAGATGCACAAAATATTCGGCGAAAGCGCCGAAGGGACTTTTTGCGCCGTCCAACGAGGACCCTCGTGAATGCAAATGTACTTTCCCTCGGGGATGGAGAGCAGCGTCGCTCGTCAGTTCCGGTTGGCACTATCCGGAAATCATTCCAGCATCCTTGCTTGACCGACCTTGATCTTGACCTGGGCTGTCCGCAGCGACCCCTCGTGCCCTCCCACCAATGCCCGCCTCATTCCTTTTGCGCGTGGGGTTGATCAGAGACATGGGGCCTGGTGTGTGGCCAGAATGCACATTCACACCATACGGATGGCACACCCGCCTTTTCTACAGGCTTGGTTCACTCAACTGTGTTGCTATGCTGTTCTGACTGTGTCCCCATAGGATTTCTCTAGCAGAACCAGCAGCCCGGACGACGGCGACGAAGACGTAGAAGCAAAAATGCTTATTCCAGACTCTATCGATCTGGTCGGTGCCAGAGAGCCCCTCGGTAGTAGAGAGAGCAGAGGGACAAAGTCAGCTAAATCAAGAGAGACAACGAGCAAGGGAGAGGCGGGCAAGCAATGTTAGCCGGTGACGCCCGGCACACAGTCAATTTGGGGGCCGACAGCACGGCCGGCTAGAATTCACCCATTCTCCCACTACCCTCCCTGCACCCCGGCCACTGACTGCTTCGTGGGAACGCAAGCTTCAGACCACCACTCATTGCTTATTGCTCAAGTCGGCCACATCCACCCCCGATTAAATTCGCAATCCCACTTCCCTGACTTCCCTGATTTCCTTGCGAGTTGCGACCTTACTTTACGCATTTCCAGCAGGGCAACTCTCTTTACCGAACGTTCACACCAGCACAGCGTTCATTCGGACTCACCATTACAAGCCAAACTTCGCTTATTCAACCATTTCACGCATCATCCATCTATCCCGAGATACCAGCTTTACCCGCCATCACCAAAGCTTCTTTCTTGAGCTCTCTCCCTCAGCAAGCAAAGAAGTAGGACGACGTCTGCCCGGTTATCACACCTTGGCCACCTGTCAAACCTGACCTTCGTTCAGACACTTATCGTGGAGTGCGAGTTACCCGACGCACTGCAGGTGTTTCGTGTACCACCTGAAGCAAACACCCGTCGGTTGCAAGCTGTCGACAGCCACTGCCTGCTCATCTGTGGCACTTGAGGCGTGCCTTACTTAGCTTCGCCTCGACAAACATTGGTCATTGTCGTCCAACTCTGCGTATCTTGCCCTCCCTTACCCCAAGTCACTCTCTCACGAGCACAGTCATCCTGGCGCAGCGCGGGTTCTACAGGAGGGGAGCCCACTGGTACTTGGTGCACCGAGTATCTCGTCAAGGTTTCTGCGCCCAAATATCTGCCACCCCTCACTGGCTTCGCGGGTCTATAACAGGCCCGAACCGTCACAATTTCTTCCCAACTTCGCATTCAGTCTATACTCTCTCCTGCGTCGGATTCCGATGACGCACCCACAGCGTCCTCTACTCACACCACGCCGAAGAGGAGATATCAAGAAACATTTTCGCCATCGGAGAGAACCTCCGCGCCCCCCGCTGTAGCAGAGCCCGCAGATAGGCAAGCTCTGGGAGGGGCCAGATTTCACAACTCCGTCGTGCCTGACGACGATGACTTAAGGCCGACCTTGGCGGGAGGCTCAAGTGCCAAGAGACCCTCTAGAGCTATGAGGCCGCCTATGAGGTCAAGCATAGCTTGTTTGAGATGCAGGAAATCTAAAATCAAATGCGACAACGACAACACTGGATCGCCTTGCGACACATGTATCAAGGCAGGACACAAGTGCGAGTTTCCTGACCCAACGCCTCTCCCGACAAAGCGATCAGAGCCACCAACCGCGCCGAAACAGGAGAGGGAAGTCGGGCATGATCGAAAGCGAGTGAAGAAGCTCGAAGACGCAACGTCCTCTGATGGACGTATTGTCGCCGCGCTTGCTCAAGAAGTGCTTTCGGCGCCCTATCTTACCGTTGACCTGTGGCATCAACTCTTTGACATCTATAAGCTGCATTTCGCTACCGAACTCCCTTTCTTGCATCTCCCAACTCTCAAGGGCATCATTCACGACAAGGACATGAAGAAGCCATCAGCCGAATCAAATCTGATCTTGTTGGGCATTCTGGCTCTCACTGCAAGATTTCACCCTGACTTGGTCAAATATGTGGCGCACATTACACATGACAAAATCGCAGGCCCAAAGTCTCGCGGTGCTCTGCCCAGGCCGGAGCCATCAATGGCATCAGAGTACTTCGCAAACGCTCTCACAAAAGCACTGGGACAACTCGAATCAGCTCTGACATCAGCTACTGTCGTCCGTGTCCAGGCTTTCCTCATGCTCGGCTTATACAAATGGAGCCAGCCGAACGGCGGACTGGCTGCGTGGATGTACATTGGTGTTGCCATACGAATGGCTCAAGGCTTGAAATTGGGGTTCGGGGACAAGCCTTTGGGGGGCAAGAGGACTTTGGCACCGTCTCCCCGGTCGAGTAAATCTGCGCAACTACCTTCGGACCGTTGGAAAGACCAGGAGATCAGGCGCCGTACGATGTTCAGTTGCTTAATACTGGATCGTCTGTTATCTTGCGGATCTGATCGGGTTTCGATGGTCCGTTCCGACGATCTGCAAATCCAGCTGCCATGCACCGAACACGCCTTCGATCTCGGCCGCACCGTCTATACCGGATTCTTACGACAGGTGGGACATGGCATGGAGCCACCAATCGATGACAGCGTATTGAGCCGATTCGTGCAACTAGCTGATTTCTGGGGCGATATTACCAAGTACAGCTTCGCAGGCGGCCGCCATACGGAATCGCTTCCGCCGTGGGATCAAGAGTCGACTTTCTATCAACTGAACAAGAAGGTGGATGCCTTTTACGCACACCTTCCGGAAGAGTTCACCTGGTCCAGTTCAAACTTTTGGAAACACGACAACAGCATGTATGTGTCGCTTCACATGTTGGGTGCCCTCTGCAAGATCATGCTTCATCGCGAATACATTCCTTTCATCGCCATCAAATGTTTCGAGCCCATCGGTCCACTGGATGAGCCTGTATTTGACCCCGAGACTGTTCCCGACCACTTTTGGGAGCGAAGCGCAGAGCAGGTTTTCAAGGCTGGAAGGGAAATCATCGACCTCATATCGACATGCCGAGACAAGCTTCCTCACTCGTCACTGGTCATATTCGCGATCTGGCAAGCAGCCTTTGTTGGAATATACGCACGGCACTATCCTCATATGGATACACAAAATCACATGGTCAGCAAACAGGAAATCGAAGAACGCAATTTGGGATCAATGTCCGAGCACACGCAGACGGGAAATACCAGTATCGCTTTCCAGGCATTGACCAAGGTTGCACCTTACTTCAGCATGGCCTCCAACTACATCACATATTTCAAGGATATTGATCAGTATCTCACCAAAGTCTACTCCGATTACACGCGTCGTGGTTCAAGGAAGAGCGGGGATGGATCTTTGACCATTCGACTGGGTGGAGGTGGCGGCGGACTGGAAGAGTGGAGGGCAAAGGCCGACAAGATAACGAGCAACGGCATCATCCTGGACGACGACCGGCCAACAGCCTACGATGGCTCCGATGGATCGCGGGCCAGCACACTGGAAAGGAGCTCTTCCTTGGGCCCTGAATATTCCCATCTCAGCGGGAGCGGTACGGACAGTCGAAGGGACTCCCGCCAAGCATCATCATTTACCGCCATCAACGCCGCCGCATTCCACCAGCAGGCCGGCCACGAAGGCTATGCCGGAGGCGTTCCTCACCACTCACCAACACAGGGCTTTCCGCCAACTCCCGGCTCCCTGCCAAACGAAGCCGCGATAGCTAATCTCAATGCCGAGACAATCAGTATCGATTCTTACGTGCAGCAGAACCAGGGTCAGCGTTTTGGCACAATGC